ATCTGAAGGTATTTTTGTTTTTTAATCAGAATTTTAGAGTTTGCTCCAGATTTTTCGTCCTTCTCATGTTCACCCTCTTTCACTTTGACTTCTCAGTATTTTTGCCTGCTTTATTATTTATTATGTACAGCATATGCTACCCTTACTCTCCTATCTATTTAAGCTTGGTCCTTTGCTCTCTTTTTGGTCCTACCTTTTAGGTCCTTGTTTAATCATGCATGTCTGCTTCTATTGATACTAGATTGTTTCCCTAAGGACTCTGTTAGTGAAACTGATTTGGATTTTACTGCTCTGGTGATATTCCTTCTGGTGTACACCAAGGAGATGCTATATATCACAGGGGCTGATGCATTATTTTGTAGGGCTTTTGTTTTCTATTTTGTATTTGAAAAATTAGGTGTGATCATGAACATGGGAATGTCTCTTAATATCATGAGGATAATACAATCATAAAATAAAATCATCCATGTTAGCTTTGGTCTCTGAAAAATGTAATATATTGTGATTTTGAGCAAATCGAGTTCCCCAGAGAACATTCATTCATGTAAAATTTCACTTCTGTAAATTTTCGTTGCTTGTACTGGAAGCTGACTAAAATTACTTGGCACCTACAGCTGTGTGTCTGGCGTTGTCCTGGGGACTTTACAGCTGTTAAGCCATTAAATCATCACAGCAGGCTTGTAAGGTAGGTCAGGATTCCCCCATTTTAATGAAAAGGGATGGAAGCTGAGTGTATAGAAAATGACTTTTCTTATGCCACCCAGCTCAAAGCCGGAACTTGATCCTGTTTGTTTGGCCCTAATCACAGCAGTCTTCCTAATTGGCGTTAGACATGGGAATGTATTAAGGCTTCACTTTGGATTTAAACATTGATTCGGATGAAAAATGAAACCAAGTGCTGTTGGTTGAGATGGTAAGCTGTTGAGAATTAACCCAATTTAGTACTGAGTATTATCTCTGGCAAGGTCCCAGGTTCTGTCACATAGTACTGCCAGATAAAGGGTTGCCTTGATCATCAGTGATTTCATTTCTGTAAGTACAGTTCCATTGTAGAAGGGAATGAGTTGTGGGAAAAGAAATTCACACGGGATCATGGTGTATATTTCCCCCAGCTTGTCTGAGGCTCCACTGGCCTGGTTATTTTATCTTCTAAGTTTTGGCATTTGATTCAGGGCCCAAAGCTGGGCTCTTGGCTGGGGTTCAACATCTGCCATTTGTTCTTCCTTCTCCTTTCCAGTAGGCACCTCCTCACTGATATTTGCTCATTATTTTATTACTTAATTCAATGTCTCTCCTCTTCAGTCTATCCTAAATGTTTCCAATCACAGTAATTTTTTCAAGACACTTATTTTGTCTTAAAGTTCTATTATGCTTCACAGTCTGATTTCACTTATATAATACTCTTGAAATTACAGAATGACAGAGGTGGAGAATTAATTAGTGGCTGCCTGGGTTTAGGAATGCTGGGTTGAAGGGAGACAGCCTTGACCCTGAAGACGGCAGCATGAGGGAACTCTCCGAGTGATCAGATAGTTCTGTATCTGGATCAGATAGTTCTGTATCTGGATTTCTGTATCACTCTCCGAGTGATAGGCACACGAAGCAAATGTGAACAAATGACGTAGATAGAACTGCACCCAGATTTTACACTAATGTTGATTTCCTGCTTTTGATGTTGTGCTGTAGGAAGAGAAGATATAATCAGTGGGGGAAACTTGGTGAAGATCCATGAGACCTCTCTGCACTGTCCGTGTAACTTCGTGTGAATCTATAATTATTAAGAAAGAAAGGACTGTTGTGCTTTAAAATATTCAAGTTCCTTTGTCTAGCATATTCATTATGTTTCATATTCTTTGCTTCCCTCTGAATTAATCGTTCAGTTATCTCCTGATTTTTTTCCTACCTAAATCTTATTTGGCATTAACACAGTGTTTGGCTTCTACCAGGTTACCAAGAAATGCTTCTTGAATTAATTGAGCAATTAAATATGCTTTATGAAAGAACAGTATATCAGTACTTGGTCTCATTACTAACCATCTTTCTTTCCTACTCTTTTCTTTATTTAGTCTTTCTTGTCTCTGCCTAATCTCTTTCCAAGGACTAAGCAACATGCCAGGGATTTGGCGGGTGGAGTCTGGAGACTTGGGCTTGCCTGGGAGGGTTGCATCGCCTGTGGCCACAGTCACAAAGCCCAGTCACAAATTCTAAAAGGCAGTGGCTTCTTGAGGACTTACGACTTAGTGTCATAGGACAAGATGAGCCAGGAAACCCAGGATATAAACTACTGAACCCTGATCATCCATCCATTCAAATTTATTAAGACTAGTTTTACAGACCAGTGTATGATTTATCTTGGTAAATATTGCATCCATGTGTACCTGAAAAGAAAAAGATATTCTTTTGAATATCTTTTGTGGTTGTAGTTTTCAGTGAAAATCTAGTTTAGATCATCTGTGTCTTTAATGAGTTTTTTTTTTGGGGGGGGGTTGGTTCTGTCAGTTTCTCATACTATGACTGTGGAGTTGTCTGTTATTCCCTTTAATTCTGTCAGGTTTTGTCTCATGGTTTTTGAAGCTGTGTTGTTAGGTACATGCACATTCATGATTATTGTGCCTTCATCCTGATGAATTGACCCGTTTATATTATGAATGATCTCTTTGTATCTTTGTCTTGAGGTCTTCGTTAAACACTTCAGTCTTCTTATGCTTACCTTTGCATGGTATATCTTTTCCATTTAAAAATTTTCAAACTACCTGTGTCTTTTTATTTCATGTGGATCTCTTAAAGACAGCATAGAGTTGGATCTAGCTTTTTTTAATCCATCTGTCCACCTTTGCCTTTTATTCAATGTGTTTATTAGTCCATTAGCATTTAAGGCAATTCTTGCTATGGTAGGATTCAGGCACCATTTATTATTTTATTTTCTATTTGTCCCTTGTTTTTTGTTCCTCTGTTCCTGCTTTCTTTTGGATTAAAGGTTCCAAAAGGCTTTTAGAATTCCGTTTAATTTATTATTGTTTTTAATCTTATTTTGTGCTTGCTTTAGGAATTACAATATATATTCGAAGTTTTCTTAGAGTTATTATTTAGGGTTAATATTATACCATTTCCCATAAGATTAAGGACCTTGAAACTGTATGTGACCGTTTAACACCTCCCTGACATTATGCTGTAACTGTCATGTGTACTACATTTACATATGTTATAAATCACACTATGAAGTGTTAGAATTTTTACTTTAAACAGCTATGTATATTTTAAAAACATTAGGAGAAAAATAGTCTTTTATGTTTACAATTTTTGGTGCTCTTCATTCCTTCTGGGTATTTGAATTTCTGATATCATTCAGCTTGAAGACCTACCTTTGTTTGGGATTTCTTGTACTTTAGGTCTGCTGGGACATGTTTCCACAATTTCCTCGTATCTGAAAGCTTCTTTATTTGCCTTCATTCTTGACAGATATATAGCTTGGATAAAGAATTCTGGTTTCATAGTTGTTTGTTTACCCCCCTGTTCCCCTCCCGCCCCAGCTCTTTACTGTTCAACTGTCCTGTGTCCTCCATAGTTTCTTATGAAAACTTAACACTGATTCTTGTTTCCCTGTATGTAATGTGCCGTTTTTTTCTCTTCTTTAAATTTTTTTTCTTTATATTTGGTTTTCAGCAGTTTGACTATGTGTACCTAGAATTAATTTTCTTTGCACTTATCCCGTTTGGGATTTTCTGAGCTTCTTCAATCTATACATCTATGTCGTTCACCCAAATTAGGAGATTTTCAGCTTTTTTTCCCCTGCATTATTCTCTTTCTTTTCACCTTCTAAAACTCTAATTATAAAAAATATTTGCTGTTTTGCTAGTGTCCCACAAGACCCTGATGATGTCTTTGTGTTTGTTTGTTTCTTCTTGAGATTGGATTTTCCTTTACATCCTTAACCATACTTATTAACTGTTTTAACATCATTGAGGGCTAATCCCAACACTTGGGTTAAATTTTCTCTCGAATGTTGGTTCAAGGTTCCTGTTTGTTCACGTCGAGTAATTTGGACTGTTTTCACTTTGTGAATGATATGTTACATAGGCTCTGTATTCTGTACGTTTCTTCAAAGAGAATTGATATTTTTTTGGTCTTAACGGGCAGTTATTTTGGCTGAACTCGAACTCAAGTTTGACTTCTCTGTGACAGGTGGCAGCTCCACTGACCCATCCAAAAAGCTAATATTGAATATGTGCTGTGCGTCATGCTTATGTGTTTACCATAGGTAATTGTGCTGAAAATACAAATAGACATGGACCGTAACCTCAGGAGACTTGCAATCTACTTGACACAGAGAGGAGAGTCAACAAAGTATGACAAATCCCCATATGTCATATGAGATAGGTACATAGAGACAGTGGAGTTAACTGAAAAAGGAGTTGTTAAAAATGATTTTTGAAACAACTCAATCCTTCTGAGAACAGGAGGTAGTTTGTTTATTATATATAGTAATGATGAAAGATCGGCTGATGAATAGCTATTAGTTACACTGTCATAATTTTGTTAGTTCTTTGAAGAAAAGGAAGTGTTTCAAAAGCACAGCATGTTGTGAGGAAGCAATATTAAAAATAAATGTTTAAATTTATAAATGTTTAAATTCTTGAGTGCCATACTAAACAGGAGAAATACTTCTCTTTTGGTAAGAAAAGATGATTTGATAAAACCTGAGCAGACAATGCACATGATCATAAATTACTGAATGTTAGACGTTGCTGAGATAAAAGACCTAGCTCTACTAAAAAAAGTATCACAAAAGATACATATTACTGTGTCATATATCTTAAAAATCTGTAAGTTTCCTGTGTCAAATATCAAAGACGTTTTCTAATCCATTTTGGTATCTATACTTTTATCTATATAAAGTAATGGGTAACACGGGGTTGGTTTTCATTGTGTAAAAGCATGTTTGCCTTAGCAGTAACTTGAGCCTTTCTTTTTTCTCTCTCTTTTTTTTCCTGTTTTAACAGTGTATCCTATTCAGTACACGTATCTGAAGATTACCCAGGTATGTTTTTCTTTTTCTTTTTATTACAAATATTCATGCCATGATTCTTTGAATAGTTTTTTCTTCTGGAGATGTAAAATGTATATAAATATATCTAGGGGTGAAGGGTTGGCAGGGAAAGACAATATAAAAGAATTCTGTTGATTGCCTGTGAGTTACATGTCTCACCCTGAGACACAGTACAGAATCAAAATAGTTCTTCTGTGAAACTACTTTCCTTGAGTCAATATGATAGCTTCATCCTGTTTATTTACCTCATTACAATTAAAATGAAGATTCTCTAAACTGGTTTAGTTGTTGGCTTTCATACTCTAAAAATAATGGGTAGGAGTAACAGCTAAAATAGTAGCTAAAAATAATAGTAATATTTGAAAATAACAGGCCTTTCTTAATTTCTCTAAATTTATATACAGTTGAACACATCTCACAACAGCTCTCTGAGGTTGTTACTATAATATCCTCATTTTACAGATGAATGATGACACTACTAGTAAGAGGAAGAACTGCAATTTGAACCCAATAGTCCAGAGCCCGTGGACCATACTGCTAGACTGTACTAGGCTTCTTGCATATGCACAGCTGTCCTCACCATGTGTCCTGAAATAGATTACTAGATCCACACACATTTGTCCATAGAAAACTGAATATAAGGTCACTACAGATCTATTCTTCTATTGATCAAACCAGTATCTTTCTTCTAGGCCATGTTCAGTCTTACTCTCTAGACTCACTGTAATCTCACCAGAGCCCAGGATGTGTATGCCAATATTTAAGTCATGATAATTTGGACTTTATCTTTAGTGTTCTTCTCACTCATGATGTCTGTAATTTTATCTTGAGTAAGAGCACGAGCACTGTAGACTTAGTGTAGATCAAATATGACTTGATTAGTTTACCCCAAAGAAAAAAAGTATAATGCAAGAATCTATTTTTTATCATATTCTGTGGCAAAGATTAGCAAATTTTAACTGCCTATGTTTCATATATATATTTTTTACTCCAGCATTCTTACTTAATAAAATCTGATGGTTACCAAACTAACTGTTCTGATCTGTCAGGGTCATAAGTTGAAATCACAATTCCAATTCCTATTCAAATCTAGCCATTTTATTCACTTACTGTGCATGACTGGGATCATAATTTTCTGTATAAAATGAGTAGATTGCTATAAGTAACTTTGATTACGTATACTTTGAGTATTTTTTTAAAACTAATTAGTTAATAATGTGGTATGAGGATATTGTAAAATATTTTTTTAGCCTTTAAGCAAAGTATTTCCAGTGGCAATTTGCATTATGCATTTAACCTTTTTGTAAGATCAAATGTTACATTTTAAAATAATTTTCACATATCATAAGTTCCCTTACAGTTGTTTTGCTATGATCGCCATATGTTTTAAGCATAGCATTCTATAAAACTATTGTGCAATTTTACAAGGAGAGTTATTCATTATTAAAAATATGCCTATTTTTAATAGTATAAAAAGTATTCTAGGCAGATATTATTGGAAGAACCAAGACATGAAATGTATAAAGAAAAAAAATTTCTTAGCTGGTTTTGCAATCAGCCCTCTCCCTTATTATGATATAGTATGTTTTTGATGCTGAATTTTGCTTAAATATATTAGGAAAATAAAAGCCCCACTATTTATTGTAAATATTATGATTATTATGCTTCTCATCTGAGGCAGCTCCTAGAGATGTCAGCCAAGAGAGATGCAGGACATTTAAGTCAGGGTGATAGAAATAATGCCGCAAATGAAAGCCCCCTGAAGACAGTAAGTGAATTATTCTGTAGCGCAAGAAATATGGTAGATGCCTTTAATAAACCAAGTGAACCAAATGTTTAGCGCCCTCTTGTGGTCAAGAAGTGAACCAAATGTTTAGCGCCCTCTTGTGGTCAAGAAGTATTACTCTGGTTTCTCTCGCCATCAGGGAGCCCCACTGGAACTACAGTATACAAAAATTGAAATTAAAACATAAAAAAGTATTGGTTATCATTGGTGCTTTTTAAAATTGAGTTTACATCACGAAGCAAGTTCATAGTGAGTTGGCAATATAATTTAATTTATAAAAAAGAAGTGTAAATAAAACACAGAGATGGAGAGAGAGATTAGTGCATTTGGGGAGAGAATTTTGAATTGGTTGATGCCAAGTATTTTCTTATGCATGATTGAATGGATTCTAAATACCAGTTTGTGTATAGACAGGACAAGTGCTATCATGACATTTTATACTTGAAGAAATGTGCTGAGGGAAGTTAACTATTCCCCAAGGATGTGTAGTTTGGTGGTAACCAAGTCTATAATTCAGTTCTGATTCCTCTCACTTCTGCGGAAGAAGTAGTAGTAGTATTTTTATGGAGCGTTCTTCAAAGTGAATATTGCTATGATAATATTTTCCCCATTATTAAATTTTAATCCATAGTTATTTGTACTAGGAGTTCAGTTAATACGCTTGATTTCTCATATAGATAATATTATATAAAAATGATATGTTTGCTCTTCCTTTCCAGTATTCATACCTGTATTTTTTTCTCCTCTTTTACTGGCTAGAACTTCCAGAATGACTTTTAATAATAGATATGAAAATTGGCAGCTTTGTTCCTTTTCTCAAAATTAGTGAGCTTGCTTCTAGTCGCTTTCAGAAGAGCAAGTATCATTGCTTTTCTCATTTACTAAGCTTTTTTTTTTTTTGAGAATGAGTATTAAGTCTTTATCGAATTCTTGTTTGGCATCTAATGAGGTATCGTGTATGTTTTCTCCTTTGAATAGAAGGTGTCAAGATATATTAGCAGATATCTTAAGGCTGCTCTATAAGAACTACGTGTATTTTGTCATGTACTCTGTTATTAAATACTTCAAATTGATGACGGAATTAAACTGTTCTTTGGCATTTGATAGAACTTGCTAGCAAAGCTATCTGAGCCTGCATCTTTTTTCTTTTTCTTTTTTTTTGCGGTACGCGGGCCTCTCACTGTTGTGGCCTCTCCCGTTGCGGAGCACAGGCTCCGGACGCACAGGCTCAGCGGCCATGGCTCACGGGCCTAGCTGCTCCGCGGCATGTGGGATCTTCCCGGACCGGGGCACGAACCCTTGTCTCCTGCATCGGCAGGCAGATGCTCCACCACTGCGCCACCAGGGAAGCCCTGAGCCTGGTATCTTTTTAAGGATGGTTCTAGAGCAGTTGTCATATATTTCTGCCATGATTGATGAATCTGTTCTTTGTTTCTATTTCTTAGTCATTTTTTAACATGTGTTCTTCTTGAAAGCCCACTATGTTGGAGGAATGTCCAAATTTTTCAGCAAAAAGTGTTTTTAATAGTATTCAGTCTGTACGTCTAAAAATCTTCTGCATCTCTGTGGTTATTTCTCCTTTCTCATTTCTGTTATTTTATATTTATTCTTGTCTTTTTCTCCCCTTGCTTTTTCTTCCAAAAAGTTTGTCTATTTTAAAAATTATTTCAAACAAATGCTCTCTTTTATGTTGCTTTTAATTTCTAAATGCAGTAATCTTGATAGTACTTTTATTAATTCCTTCTGCTAATGTTCCTTAGGATTTTTTTCCTACTTTTTCTAGGTAATACGGTTCAGTGCTTATCTCATCATCTAAGTTTGAAAATACAGTATGGAATTTTTTTTGCCCTATGAACATGTATTAGCATAATCCTCCAAATTCACGATTATGCCATCCTATTTATTCCTTAGCAGATTTGCCACTTTATAGTTTTAATCTATTAAGTTACCTGTGCCATCTATTGGAACTCATTTCATAGTTTGTTTTTGTGAAAATTAAAATTGAGAGGGTCTTCAGTTTTAGGTACATATAATAACGTATATAAATGAAATACTAAAGATATATTGGCTATTCAAATAAAATGAAGAAATAAAGCAGCCTTCTAGTTTACCTGTGGAGTTTCTACTGTAGACAATTTTCTGTTTTTTAAAGGTAAGTATGTTACAAATCACAGATAATTGACTCTGCTGTGACCAGCAGAATTCTTTCTCATCAGTTACCACCTTTAGTTGGGAGGCTTACCTACTGGAGGGTATGAATTCTCTCATTTCTCTTACATGTTTTACAAGATACTGCAATTGTTGAGTGACAATATTCTGATATAAAAAAACATAGCAAAGCACTGATGTTTGGATTCAGACAGTTTTACCACTTACTACGCTATGTGTAATTACTTTAGTTACTTAAATAATTTGGGTGAATTAATTTTTCTGAGCCTTGTTTCCTCATCTTTAAAATAGGGATAATAATTGGCTTGGTGGTTGACATGAATATCATATGTAGGGGAAATATGCAGATTGTATTATAAAACCAGTATAGTTATTACTTATAATTATTTCTATTAAGTTACATAGTAATGAATAATGGAATGCTGGCTTAAATTAGAAATAGAATAAAAGCAGTAATTTAAGAGATGCGTTTCCGTAGCTCTCTACTCACCTCTCCCTTGTCCACAGAAGTTCCAGTAATGCTTGCATAGTCTGGTAGGGAAGGGAAGAGAAAATATTCATACTGTTAACAGCCTTTAACAAGAATCTACAGGTTCTCTACAAAACATACACATTAAAGAACCTAATTGTCCCCGGAAGCTTTCGGAAAAAGAAATTGCCAGCCTTAGACTCAAGTGGGAGACTCTTCCCGTGAAGGAATTTGAGTTTGAAAGCATCCTGTTCTGTCACTGGCTCATTCTGTTACCTTAAATGCATTCTTTATCCTTTTTGCGTCCTACTTTCCTATGTCTAAACAAAGACAATGTATTATTACAGATATCAGAATAGGTTGAGGAAGATTTAGAAATAATTAGTTAAACAACAACAAAAGAAAACATAGAATCAATTCAGACAGCTGGGACGCTCCTCAAAGATCATCAGCAAACCTCTTCATTTAATAACCAAGCAGACAGTGGCTTAGAGTTAAAGGGATCAACAGCTAATTGGTAGCAGAGTCTAGATTTGAAGTGCTTTGTCTGCTCTTACATTTCTGTTCTTGACTTGAATACACCTCTGTGATCTGGCCTGTTGTATCATAATGGTTATTTAATGGATACTGTCATGCAAACTGAAAACATTTTGGTTTGGGTAAATTAAGCCAAAAGCAGAAATGAAAAGTGTTCTAATGCTTAAATACTAATCAAACTACAGACTGGTAGAAAATCTCTTAGAAAATGATATGTCGAATGCCTAATCCTGTCTTTCGGTGTTATGCAACAATTATTTACTAAGTTATATTGTCTTGAATCACACCTCGCTGCCTTCCAGTGTCAACACTTTGTGTGAGCCATTTGGTCCTTTAAATTGAGTTATTCATTTCCCTGTTTTCTTAAACAGAAAGTTCTAATTTATTTGCCTCTTGATGCTTTACTACAATCCTCCTCATTCCATGACACTGAGATATTCCATGATATGGAGTCCACTGTCCAGATCTTTCTGGATCTTTCCTTCGAGTTGGTGGTCAGCATTGCTTCCATTGCTCTTTTTCTTCTCAAGTTTGCGTCAAGGAATCCATTGTACATAGGGAAAACCGAACTATGCACAATGAATCAGTAAGGCTCTGAATGAGGGTTTAAGAGGTTTAAAAATGGACTGAACCCTCTGAATGAGGGCTAAGAAATTTAAAAACTCTGTTTTAACAGAGCAGCTGTTGATCCTCACCTGAAGGTATGAGTTTACTGACAGAAGAGACCCCAGATAAGCAGTCAAAGGCTCACCTAATATGATGAGACAGTAATTAAAAAGTTATATTAAATCTGTTTCTTAATCCGGGGTCTCACCTGATAAACACAAAAATCCTCACACCCTCCTAGATGCTACTTGAAAAGCAAATAAGGCAAAATTTGTAATTAGAACAAATCAAAATAATGGGGCAAACCTGTTTTTTTTCAAGTCTAATCCACCCGCATCTCCTCTCAGATTCCTGAATAACTTAAAGCCTTTGACTTTGAGAGTCTTTGTGGCTACGTTGTGAATACATATCACTGTCACTACTCAAGGTCTAAAAACAGTACAGATGTTTCTTTGGAAATAAAGTAATGACTTAGCTATCTATCAGTTAAAAATCATGTTCTCATTGTACTGACACAATATTATGAAAACTGGGCTCAAGATCTCTTATCATGTGTTCGGTAAGTCATCTGAACTCATTTCTCCTAGCAGAAATTGATACAGGCTTCTGTTGTTAGTTAGGTCTATTTTAGACTTTTATTTTTTATATATATATATTTACATATTTATACATCATTGATGAGTGTATTATAGGACCATTATTTAAAAATTGGTTAAATATTTGTTGAATAGCTGTGTCACAGATGCCCTGTAACCATCAATGAGCAAAAAAAATAACAGTCGTGTGTCATATTACCATATACTTGATACCGATATTGGGAAGGATGCGCTTCAATGAGTTGAGGCAACCAGTTGCGTCCAAATGATCCATTACTGCATGGGATGTTAGAGATGTGTTTGGATAGTCTCTATCCAAAGTCCGTATTTGTCTAGGAGATGCAAACATCTTTAAAGAAGCTATTTACAATTAATTCGCACATAAACCTGCAATTTACTTCATTTTTTTTCTGAGATTAATCAGAACAGTAGTGTGTGCCTTATGAGTGTTGGAAGCGATGTGGCTATACCTTAATTTTTTTTAATAAAGGTTGTACTTTTTCAAGTTACTATGCCTTTAGTTGTCTATATTTCTTTTGCAGATAATACATATGTGTCAAGTTCAGAAAATGATGAAGATGTATTAGTTACTACAGAGCCAATTCCAGTCATTTTTCATCGAATAGCAACAGGTAATAGGAATACACTATTTTCTTAAATTCCAGGTTAATATTTTCTTGATTATAGGTAGCTTTGTTTTTTGGTTTCTTTTAACCCATATAGTATTTATCTTTGGCATCTATAAATCTGGTTTTCCATACAGATTTTCTATTTAAAGTCATTAATTTGTTTTTCAACAATTTTAAAAATGCATAAATTAGTACTTTTAAAAAGTCCCATTTAAATGCCTTATGCAGATATTTGCTTTTGTGAAAATATTTTCATTCATAATGATACTGCCAGACAAACTGAATATTTAAAAAACATACTGAAGGCAATGTAGATCCCATGAAATACATAGTGAGAACTGAAGGAATTTGTACTGTGGCCACTTCAGTTTGAGCACATTTTTATGGGCAATGAAAAATCAGAATAGTTTGTATGTAATATAATTCTCCAACATAATATAATTTCAGAATATCCCTTAATTTCTCTTGCAAAAGAAAGAATCATCTATGGGGTGTTTTTACACTGAAACTTATAAATATTTGGTAAATAGTATACTGAAAACTAAAATGATTCTTTAATTATAACTTTCAGAATTAAGAAAGACAAATGACATTAACTGTTGCTTATCCATAAAATCCAAATTACAGAAGGAAAATGGGGAGGTATGTAAATTACATTCTATGTTTTATTATATTTCTTCAAACAGTATAGATATATTTGAAATTTACTGTGTATTTGTAGTTAATATCATCATTATTTAGGTTAAAATTGCATATAGTGAATGAAGTACACGCTCCTGGCTTAGGGACTTATGTATGGGAAAGATGGTGGCCTAAAATTAGCTACCTTTCAAGTAATAGAAAGAACATCTGGTTTAAATCTAAATAAAGTGTATACAAAACCTAACTTGTTCTCTGTGTTTTCATCAAATAATGTAGTTGATTGAAGAGCGCTTATGTAACATATTTAGAATAACCGTATGTTATTCTAAACTGTATGTTTAGATTAACTGTATGTGGTATACATAGTTTTGATCAGACCCTTAAAATTTCATCTGTAAAAGATGATCTTTCTAGCTAAAGGAGCACAGAGCTTGGATATAGTCTTATTATTTTTGGCCAGTGTTAAAACAACAACAACAAACTTATCCCCTTTCCTCACCTTCAAGAAATTTACTTCAATCTGTAAGTAAATACGGGGACATTAAACAAGCAAAATGAATGTGGTGGGACCCGACAATTCTTTGGTTTTAAAACTATGCACTGAATGCAACCCTGCCTTCCCCTCAGTGTTGTACCATTCATAGTGCTCTTCAGTAGCCAAACTGAGAATCACTGATTTAACATTATTGCTGCTAAAACCAAAAACTGTTTGTATTTTATAAAACCCAAATTCCCTTTTCTAGGTTTTTTGTTTGCCTTAGTAATTTGAAATTTGATCTAGAAATTTAAGGATAATTACAAAACATTGAATTAATAGATTCCTGTGTCTAAAAGCAGCTACCTTTCTCTTAATTATTTTAAAAGGGTCAGGGATAGGAATAGTTACTTTAGATGAATTTTTGTTGTTTGTACTTTAGACACATAACAGATACGGTTCAGTTAATTAGAAACTCAAACTTCAAGTTCAAGCATATTTAATGAAATATTCTTTTGAAATCTGAAATCTAAAATTATTTCTACAAAGTTCTCTTCGTAATGTGATTTGTATTTATTTTCATAATTTGAGTTTTATATTATTAGATTCAAAGTGCCTTTTCTTTCATACCATTATGTGGTGTTGGCAGTGGAAGTGAGAACAGTCTGGGATAAATAACGCTGAGGAATTTTTAATAAAAAATTGAATCAGTGTGAGCTGCTCAGATGTTTTATCAGAACAAACCCAAAATTGTAATTGATTGATGTAGCTTTTTATGTACATCAAATATTAAATTGTACAACTCAAGACCAGTGAAACGTACATAGAGCTTAATGCACCCACAAAATTCTCTTACTACCTTTTTGTTTTTGGTTTGTACTGCACCAACAATTCTTTTATTTAAAATCCATGTGGTATGCATAAGACCTACCTATTATGGGCACTTGTTACTTTAGTTTCAGAAGGAGGAAAACTAGTTTGACCATTAAAATTGCCTTCTTACTATTATTTTAAGGAGTCAAGACAAAATAGTACGGTGGAAGAAGATTCTGAAGGAGATAATGATTCTGAAGAATTTTATTATGGAGGACAGGTAAGCACACCAGCTCCTCCAAATAGCGACTCTCAAAGGTAGCAGTAGCCATACACGTTCTAGTGGAAATCTGTGCTTGTCATCTAAAAGACCTGTGTGTTGTTCAGGGTTCTGTAACTAACAAGGAAATTCCTATAATTTGTCTGTCGCTCATTTTCTATATATTTTCAGAAATTAAGGTTACTTTTGCAATTATTTGACTGTAATCATTTATTTACATTGAAGTTGTCTTAACTTCATTACAGATGTTTTGCAGACAGCATCTTATTATGCTTTTAACTTTTACATTTATTAAGCATATTGTGCTCAGTCAATATTTTGAAATGGTGACACTAATAAAAGCATGAATTGTTAGTTTTAAATAGAAGGTGATTAACCTTTATAAAAACTGATGGGCCCTAATTATCGAGCATCCTCATTATTTGTATTCATTATCTTCCTTTTCCTTCTATACTAAAGTGTTGAAAAATTTTTGTGAAGAAACATCATAATTTATATATATGAAAATAGCGTAGCCACATATGCATATATATGAAAGAATTCATTATATTTTTCCAGAGTAATGTTAAAATTTTAAACGGAGCATTTGATTTTAGGATATGGCTATATAAGTTGTCTTGTTCTGTTTCTGTAAACTTCTTGATCCAATATGCTTTGTAACTTGGATAGTTTAAGGGAAAGGTAATATGTTAAAGAGATGCTTTAAAGCCAGTTATTATTATGTGAAGAATGCAAGTCAATTTATTCATTCAGAATCAGAAATTAGTAATCTGTCAATCAAGTGTATGCAAGGCAGTAGAGGTATGGACGGACATAAATAAAACTAGATTTCCTCTCTCCAGAATGCCTTACTAGGAATGGGGTACTTTTCCTAATGATTCTTTAACCGATATAACACTCTAACATTCTGCAAAATAATTCTTCCAGTTTCGATTTTTGTTTACACTGCTAATTCTTACGGGGGAAGTAAATGTTTTTTTCAGTCTAGAAGTTTTTCAGATTATCTGCCACTTCACTCCTTTTAACATTGGCATTGTCTTCGTATCAAAGTAGTCAAATATTACTTTTTAAGCATACTAAATAATACTAGATGTATGTGAACCTAAGAACTTTAGTGAATATATTGCTGAACTGTCTATACTTTCATTTTTTTTGCGGTACGCGGGCCTCTCACCGCTGCGGCCTCTCCCGCTGTGGAGTAACAGGCTCCGGACGCGCAGGCTCAGCGGCCATGGCCCACGGGCGCAGCCGCTCCGCGGCACGCGGGATCCTCCCGGACCGGAGCCCGAACCCACGTCCCCTGCATCGGCAAGCGGGCTCCCAACCACTGCGCCACCAGGGAAACCCTGAACTGTCTATACTTCTTTCATGAAGGCGACAGAGAAAATGCCCATGGCAGAACTACAGGGTCACCTGTCCAAGAGATTGTTTGTATTTTGATTTTTTTGATTCTCTTCACCCTAAGTCATTTCTAAATTATCCCTTTTCATCAGGTGAACTATGACGGGGAGCTGCACAAGCACCCCCAACTCGAAGCTGATTTGTCGGCAGTGAGAGAGATATATGGGCCACATGCAGTTTCTCTCAGGTAAATAAATACCTTCGGTGAATACAACTTAAAATTATTTGGAAAGTCACTGGAATTTTCTCTTGGAGTTAAGTGGAAATTTCCTTGGGCTTAATTATATTTGAAAGTATATGAGAGTCTATTATGTTTCTACTTACACAAAATGGCATATTTATGGCTATGATTTTTTTGTGTGTACACATGGTTTAAGATTACATTGATTTCATTAAAGAAATTAGTTATTTTTGGAGAGTTAGTCTGATAAAATATCAGTCTTGAGTGGCATCATAATCAATTCCTGTAACAGATTTGGCCAGCTGAGCCCATGTTGTTATCATAAATTAAGGACATATTTGTGTGAACAATAAAAGTCAATAATGCATGACCGCTGGTATCCAAATCACATTGTGATATGTAATCTGGCCCCTAAGAAAAGAAAGGAAAAAAAGACATAAGTTTGTGCAATGTGTGTTTGAATGATAATTATTTTTTTTTGTTGCAGTTACTTAATATATTATTTGGTGATAAATTTCCAGGCCATTTTCTATTACTTTAATCATTCAGAAGACCCCCACCATCCCTATTTAGACTTTCTTTTCTCTCCTTAATTTAAGAAAAACCCTTTTCTGCCATCATACTTGTTTCCTTCCATGAGTCAGATCTGATGTTTCAGATTTTTGTTATCTTCCTAAAGGGTGGTCTCCAAGTCTCCAGACTCCTCTCACAGCCTGACCTCAGTTCCAGCCTCATCCACCCAAACCAGGATTGTTTCTGTTCTCGAAACGTGCTATATTTCCCCTTGACTTTGTCCATTTGCCCAGGCAGTGCTTCCCTCTCAAACCCGGTTGCTCTCTTTATTCAAGCCCCTGTCTAAAGGTCAGCTTTTCTTTGAGCCTTCCTTGAATCTCTGATGCAGACTGGTTATTCTGCCATATGCACTCCCATCACATTTGGCTCTTAATCTCATTTATTAGTCTCTTCATGTCTTGTTGTTATGGGTTTACTTCTCCCCCTCTAGACTCTGAATTCTGTGAGTGCTGGGGCAGCACACTTTTTTGTTATTTGCCTTTATTTTGTGTTGGTTTGGTTTTCAATCCTGCTTGTACTCCAGTACTTAGCCTAGCACAGCGCACATATGAAATATAAGCTGGGGGCTTCTTGACTGTTTTCAGTGGAACGTCTGTGAAAAATGTTCATATTATCTGGTTATATTCTTTTCAGTGAACATACGCAGATTTTGAGAGAGCAAACGAATACTTAAGGGAGTATAACACAGCTGTAATTTATAATTGCTAACTGTTTCATTTTACCTGCAGAAACTCACAACCACCTGTGGCCTAAATAAGCCGGGATCGTACACCCGGACCCTCTCCCTCCTGCTCATGGAGGGATATTAGGCTACAACTGAGTGAGGGTGATTGGGATTATACTTGGAAAAGCAAATCTTTGCAATTTCCAAAGTTTTGGCGAATTAGCTGTGATCATTTCACAATTGATCCATGCTCTGGCTCCAGGATAAGGAATATGGAGATTCCATAAGTATTATAGAATGAATAAATGAAGAAGGCAACAGGGACTATCAATAAATTGTCCAGGGATTCCCTGGCGGTCCAGTGGTTAAGACTCTATGCTCTCACTGCCGAGAACCTGGGTTCGATCCCTGGTAGGGGAACTAATATCCCACAAGCTGTGTGGCTCGACCTAAATAAATAAATAAATAAATAAACTGTCCAAAACAATGACTAATTTTTTTAACTTTAGTCAGACTTTGGTTGAAAGCTTAAAACTTTAATCGCAATAGTTTAACCCTCTCCCCCATGAAAGAAAAACGTCTGTATATGATTAATTCAATACAACATAGAATTTAGCTGCTTTTCATTTGAAATATGTATTTTTGTTTAGAGAATCACTTTACCACACATTGATTGCTTTTATAAAGTTTTTTTACATATATTTCCATGCTATCTAGGCCTCAATCATATCATATATATATGTATATATATATGAATATTTTTGTTTCTTCAGCAAGCATTTGATAATTTCTTATATTACTATCATAAGGTAAATACTTATAATTTCTATTAGTATCTTCCATTATTAATAAAATATTGATAATTTATGGACTGTTGAAATTAGATAAATATCTGGAATTTCATTCAAGTGAAGTATCTAAAGTCATAAATGGTTTTGATTATTTTCCCCTTGCCTCTTTCACTTACAAGTTTTGGTCCAATTTAACTCTCAATGAATGCAAGCCATGTTCTTGCCTGCTCTAGATTTCCTCTAACTACAGAGGATGTTTCCAGAATAAATAACCTCCCAGAGGCCTCATGATATAAAGGGAAATCACAGCAGGACTAGTGTGATTTACTTAAAATAAATAAGAATGAATTTACTGTCTGGTCTCAAATACTGTGGCTTGGACATATGGGAGAAAGGAGTAGTTAGGCCTAAGATCTTGGAGTCACCTTCTTTGCAAAGTTTTAAGTCTATTGAAAACAGACTGTTCTAATTAGCTGTTCTTTTACTTAATTGAGTTTCATAAGAACTTAATGGAGTTTGAAGAGCAAAAGTACCTCAATATGCATAATATGCTATTTGCTGTCATTTTTTTTAATGTGACATCTAATGAGAAAGGCAGCTAACCACATCTAAGTTCTCTTCAAGAGAAAAAAATAACAGAGGTTGCCTCAATTGAGGCAAAACTCTCTTTTAGTAGGTTGAGGGAGGCTATAGAAAAAGTGACCGATGATAAATTTATTACTTAAGTAGGTAATTTTAGCTTTACCTGGCCAAATCATTCAAAAGCAGCCTTCTGGCTGGGTTGAACCGTACTTGGAAACATTGATGACAATTCTGATTCACAGGCTCTTGTGCAGGAAGTGAGTTAGGTCTCTGGGGGAGCATGGTTAACCCCCTGATCAGTCTGCATGTGTCTCATCTTGAATCATGCAAGAAAATGAGGTTATTTTATGTTTTTATTATAAATTTACTCCTATAGTCATGTATTCATTTCAAAAATGATCAGTGCTATTGAAAACAATTTGAGATTAATATTTTTAGAAAGCAGGGAATTACAAATCACAAAATTCTCATTCGGTTGGGAATGAAATGATTCTGATAATTTGCTGATGATGTTTCAAACTTTTACCCCAAATAAAATATCCTTTGCTTTATGATCATCCATCATCCATTTAAAGAACTGAAGGCAGCTGAGTAATATTCTAATCTTTGTATTGTAGCTAATGTTAAAGTAGGTTGGAAGATTGCAAGATTTTCACTATTCATTTTGATCACTTTTTGTGGTTGGATGATTGTAATTTTGGAGTTGATGTATTGGAGGACAGGGCATGCAGAGGATTTTTTTAAGGTTTGAGGAAGCTATACCACTGTATTCAGGCTCACCACCCAAACATATATCTCATGGAAAAGAGAGAGAGAGAGAGAGAGAGAGAAAGAGAGAGAGAGAGAGAGAGAGAGAAGAGAGAGAGAGAGAGAGAGAGAGAGAAAGAAAGAAAAGGAAAGAAAAAGCCACATAAATCAGGGTGGACCACTTTAATTTCTCTGGATTTCCATTAGTAGTGGGCCAGTAGCACTACTTAACAAATCTCTGGTTCTCCTCTTCTGGCAGATGGCAGGATTGTATTTCCCTATCTCTCTTTTTTTTTAAATTAATTAATTAATTAATTTTTTCGCTGCGTTGGGTCTTCATTGATGTGCGTGGGCTTTTGCGGTGAGCAGGGACTACTTTTCATTGCGGTGTGCGGGCTTCTCCTTGCGGTGGCTTCTTTTGTTGCAGAGCACGGGCTCTAGGTGTGCGGACTTTGGTAGTTGTGGCACGCAGGCTCAGTAGTTGTGGCGCACGGGCTCTAGAGCGCAAGCTCAGCAGCTGTGGCTTTGCACGGGCTTAGTTGCTCCGTAGCATGTGGGATCTTCCTGGACCAGGGCTCAAACCCATGTCCCCTGCATTGGCAGGAGGATTCTTAACCACTGCACCACCACCAGGGAAGTCCCGTCCCTACCTCTTATAATATCAGCAGTGGACACACAACTAGTGTTGGCCAGTAAAATGTGAGCCAAAGTGCTAGTGTGTGAGTTCCCACACCTTCAATACTCCACCACTCTGGGCCCCTTGGCGACTACAATGAATAGCATTCTTTCTAGTCCTCTGATTCCATAGTAAGCAGGTAGTGTGAATGAGATATAAATCCTTTTTTTGTGTGTTAAACCAGTGAGATTTTGAGGATGTTTGTTACTACAGCATAACTTAACCTACACCGAAGTATGTCATTCATCAAAAGATCTTGGGTTGGATGTTTGTAATGTCCTTTGCAGCATACTGATTCTCCCACTTCTGCCTCTGGAGCCCATGGAAAAGCAGTCTGAACTGAAAACCAGGGGAAAGTGATGGCAGGAGGCACACAGAAGAAAGAAACAAACAGGAGACTATTTTTCAAAACCACTGGCATAAAATCTAGATGCAGGCTTCACAATGTGAGATCCCAGACAGTCACCTCTTCTTCCAATGCCTGTGCTTTCCTCAAGCAAAACCAAGGACTTTTAAACGGAGGGCAGAGTTGTAGCAAGTGTTTACACTGTACCTCTTATACACTGTTATTTTATATGGGGTTCCTTTCTTATCTGGATCTAATTTTTAAATTCTTCTTAGCCCTGTTGTCCTTTAGAGAAATTTATAGCTACCATGAATACAGTCTTGCAAATGCTTTAATCTGCCAAGACTTCTTCCCAACTACTGAGTTTGCATATTTCTTGGCCCATTCACAAACATCTCTCCCACACTGAGCATGAAACACACACTGAGTAGGCATGCAGAGATAGACACACAAGCTGTTGAGTTTCAGATGTCATAGGAAGGTGTATGTTTCTTCACAAAATATATTTCTTCTCCAAATATAACTGACTAATTGTTGAAAGCAGAAATAACTAAATAGCAATAGAGGCTTATTTCCCAAGAACTTGTGATAGAGTTTCATGTATGTGTGTGTACGCATATAATTTCCTTGACAGTTGATGAGGGAAGGCTATCTGTCTAAAATATATTTTTATAACCAGCACAGTCCTGCTAATTTTGATCAGATAGTATTATAAAACATCACAACAGTATAATAAATAAGCTGTGGTTTTATAGAGAAAGGAGGACCAACATAGATGGTCTAACATTTAATATATTGTAAGTATGTATGTGGTATCATTAATGAGGATGTTGTCTTGATTAGTTCCACTAAAAAACAGGAGAATGAATTGCTAAGAATTCTAACACATAGTGCCCTCAACAATGCATGTTCATAGAAAAATATATTTCATACATATGTTCTTAAATGAACTAGGTCACATGCAAGTAGTCCAAATCAGATGGCTGGATTTCAAGATATGTCAATTCAAAGACTAATAACTCAGATGCTGGAAAGAAATTTGTGGAGCAGTTGCAGTCCCAGAGTGAAACAACTGCATCAGATCATTTCTGTGTAGTCTCCCTTCTCTTAAAAAAGTATTCAAGTTCAATTTGATGTGATCTTTTCATAGTGAATAAATACAGGCAGTGCACGGAATTGTTTTGAATTATTATAAACCCAATACAGCATTCAGTACACAATCAGATATCAAGATTCACAGTTCAAGTTGCATTCGTATTTCAAGCATTCGCCTTGATTCTGCGTTTGCTATTCATGAGATCTAGGGCTACTGAAAGATACTCAGATACAGAAGCAATCCTGATGACTGGGCCGCTGCATCTGGACAGACTGTAATCACGCTTTGTAATCTCGCAGTGGGAAACGTGAAATTACTGGCAATATATAAAAAGGGCATCACAAGGGAAATTGGTTTGCATATACACAGTGTTGTTGTGAGTTCTTTGAAGTGTGGCATAAAAACAAAAGTGTAACTATTTACAGATCTACACCTGCAGAATCCAGTTGATTGCAAACCTTTAATGCCTCTGCCTCCTTAAAATTCTGTATTTATGCTCTGCTGTGGTGAAGAAGAACACATGTAACCCTTTAGTTACTTTTTTTGGGAAAGAAATTGAATAGTATTGGTAACTGGGAAAATACTAACTTTTAACCAGAAAAGTGCTGAAGAAATCATATAAGGAATACTTCAGAATTCACATATTAAAGGTTTTATAAGGAACGTATATCACATTCTGATCATAACGTTATGATAAATTCCGTTGAAATGATCTGGAAATCTATTTTTGAAGAAAACAGCTGTGGGTAAGGTTTGTGCTGACTTTTGTTATCTCTGATTCCTTTTTCTCTGCCTCTAAACATACCCAAGTCTTGCCATCATAAATATATCCAAAATTATTCTCGCCTCTGAAATTAGCAAAGATGGGAGAAAAAAATGCCTGGCGATGATGAGCGTGTGGAAAATGGTCACTGGGGGATCCTCGCTGGTGCGATTATAAGTTGTTTTAACCTTTTAAAATAGTAACTAAACAGTATATATTAAGACTCCCAAATATAGTTATACTATTTATTTTACTCAGTAATTCTAGAAATTATTCTCTGGGAAGACAGCTGCACATCGATTTTTACCCAGAGAGCTATTTATCAATATTTATAGTGTAAAAAAGTTGAAAGCAACCTAATGTTGTATTACATAATTTTATTCATATAAATACAGACATTTAAATTTATGGTTTTGAAGAATATTCCACAATATAAAAAATACTCATTATAGAAAAAGTGAAAGAGCAGGACAAAAATCTTTACATACCTTATTATCCTTAATAATAATCATGTGTATTACATGATATATTAATATATGAAAGAGACTGGAGTGAGATATCAGCAAAAAGAATTGTCTCTGAGTGACTGTGTTACAAGTTATCTATTGTCTGTTTTTCTCTTTCTCACATTTTATATAATGAGTCTATATTACCATTGTAATCAGAAAAAGTAGATATTTTTAGAAAATACATAAGATTTTTTAATAAAATAAATTTTATCCACAACCTATAGTTAATATATAAGTACTCTTTATACTTTTTTGGTTTTCCTACTTCTATTTTATCTAAATAAAGTGTTTTAGTTTCCATAGTGTTTTGGTAATCTGCTTGCTCAGTGAACAGTATATTTGGAACATTTCCCTCAGGATATTAAATGTTTTTATATCAATATTTTTAATAATGGGTAACTTAAAAAGATTATATTAACGTGCCATCATTTACATCCTTATTATTCAATATTCTTTTTTTTTTCTAATTTCTACTCTTACATACATCCTTCTAGGTAAAAGTTTGCACGTATTTGTTATAATTTTCTTGGGAATGGTTGTTGTCAAGGCCTCTTTGTCTCACCAAAATGTCTTTTGCACATCATTAGTGATCTATCCTCATCATTGTATTTAATGGCTCTCTTTTAACATGCCTGGCTGTAGGTTATTTGACTTCTTAAGAGAAATATGCAACAGAGACTCTATGTGGCCTGAAAAACCTAAAATATTTACTCTTTTGACCTTTATAGGAAAAGTTTTCTGAACCCTGAAGTAGAGGCATAAAAGAAATGGTTCTTGTGCTTGGTCCTTCTTCTTGTCTTAGTTTCTGTATAATTTCATAACTAAGTTGGCATACTTTTGTATCTAAATTTGCATATATGTCTATATTTGTAAAGGGTTATAAAGGTTTTTATCCTTTATGAATAGCACAGATGTTTTGACGCAGGCAATTAAAGAATTCCTATGCGAATAATTTTATCCCTTTTCTTCTTTATGTAACCTTTAAAAATATGACCATGAAAAAACAAAAAGTAATTTCATAAATAGTGAAAATGTGCTCAGTGTTTTGATATATTTCTAAGGAGAGGAAGGAGAAAGCATAGAGGCTGAGTTATTATTTTCTAATATGCTGCATGTTTTTGGTCATTGATATCAAAAAGCAAAAGGACCCTCTAGATTCCTTTATTCATCAAATTACATAAAGCCATTTAATCATTAAAAATGCCTTCTCTAAACCCCATAAAAGTGCCATAGTTTTGTACTCTGTTAGCATTATTTGCATATATCATACACAGAAATCTTCATTGAGTACCTACTATGTGCCAGATACTGTACTGTACAATTTTGAAGTTGAACGTGAGTTCAATGCCTGGCTTCCCACTGACTTCTTATCTGCCCTTTGACAACTTGTTTCGCTTTCCTAAACCTCAGTTTCCTCATTTGCGAATGAGGATAATTATAGTATCCCTGTCAGAAGGCTATAATGAGGACCTAATGAGATCATCCATTAATGTTTGACCTGGTTTCCAACACAAAGTGATAAGTGATAGTTTATTGAATATCGAATCGGCTAAGCACTTGCATAAGTAAATAGGATACGTGTATTCACATCCCAGCTCTGCTACAGAGTGATGACAGGTGAGTTACTTTATTACTCTGAGCCTCAGTTAATGGACATATAAATTGGAAATAGTAGTAGTACCTGTAGGGCACTATGATCGCAGGTATGCAAAATCCTTAGAACGATTTCTGGCATGAAAGTGCTAAATAAATATTGTCCATTAACTTTTATAATTTCTGTTATCTCTGTAGTTTTCTCCCTCACTATGATTTGTATTTGTAACTTAAGGAATTTATTACAATATCAAAAATAGGGATGTGTGTATGGAGAATATAAAAATTGCTGTTTTTATGATCTTTGTTAACTATATGCCAGTTTGTGGCACTATGTTGGCTGGAGAAAAGTTGGTCTCCATCATGTCTTTATGTGGAATATACTGTTGTTACTTGTTTTAATTTTGATACATCAGACCTTTAGATCTGGCTGTCAAAACATAGTGACATTTAAGTGGCAGAACACCTGGACCAGTTTCAGAACCACCGTCTAATGTGACAGGAAAATTTATGGGCACTTTATTGTGGCAGTCACTTATCCCTCCACCCCTTCCTTGTGTCAGAAACTCCTTTCTTGTCCTTAGAGGCAGCTCTTCATCTTCAGAGTACAGTGAAAAGCGAGGGGTCACATAAGAAGATTGTTTAATTTGTCACAGAGAACTGGGAATGTTTGAAACTATGAACCAAATAAGTCTTGAATTTATGTATGCATTTGCCTGAACATGAAGATGGAAAGATATCTGTATGGTATAAAGAGGTCACATAAGACCACAATCCAACTAAATTGAGTTAGTTAATTCATGTCCACAGTCATTTCTGAGCTATCTGTGGAAATCAGAGATGAAAATTCATGATCAAATTTTAATTTAAAATAAGCTAGGACACTATCTTTTAAGCAAAATGAAAAAAATAATGTTAATCTTTGCTTTCAGGGAATATGGAGCCATTGATGATGTAGATATTGATCTGCATATTGATGTTAGCTTTCTTGATGTAAGTATCAATTGAAGCAATATGATTGGTACATTTAAAAAACACACTTTTATTCTTGGAAGAAATTTAATTTTAGTTTCTCTTGTACATAATACTATAAGTAACATAATGACTTTGTCAAAGTGACTTATGAAGAAATGCTATGACTTGTCAAAAAAGCAGAGATTTTATATACATATATATTTTTTCCATCAGTTCTTGTAATATATTCTGAAACTTATGGGCTTGTAGTATATCATTATTTCTTAAGTTTTCATTTTAATTTTCAGATTTAGAAGGCAAAAATTAAGAGTACTTTGGCTTTCTTTTCACAAGCGAATAGGTTTTGAAATAATTTATAGGCCTTAATGATTTAAAATAAGTTTAAAAAATTTTATCTGGAAAAAACATCAAGAACTCTAAAAGATGACTAATTCATCTTTCAAATATTTGCACAGGAGGAGATTGCTGTGGCATGGGAAGTGATTCGAACAGAACCTATAATTGTCCGACTACACTGTTCGCTTACACAGTATTTAAATGGCCCAGGTTAGTTTTATTTCTCTATTATTTTGAATGTTCATTAGTTGTGCATTGTGCATTATGTAAAATGACTGTTCATTTGGTAATTCTGAACATAAATGCAGCTATCTTCATAATGATACTTAAATATACTTGCATCCTAACAGAGGTGCTTTATGACCAATATAACTATTGGAAGCCGAAACAGATAACATTTAGTTTTATAGTTTTCAGAAGTTGACAAGTTGCTGTGAAACAAACACAATAAAACCTAAAAGAGAATTTTGCATATAATAGATTCTCAGTAAGTATACTTAGGGTTGCTCTTAAGTTTGATTATTTCTGTCTCTGGACCTGAGATTTAATTTTAATGTTTACTTATCTCACCTTTGATTACTGATGAATTTAGCCTAAGTGTAACATATTTCTGTTTCTGAAAATGGAGATCATAATAATATTTTTGTTTTCCAATACCTGAAGGGATGATTTTGCTTTATCTCAAGGAATAGTTGTTTATAACACAGGACCCTATTATAAATCTTGCCAAGACTTACTGGATTTAAATGTTTTCTCTGCCTACTAATTCTCTCTCTCTCTCTCCCTCTCTCATACACACACACACACACACACACACACACACACACACACACACAACTGCATCTATTCATATTATTGCAGTTATCTACTGCTGCAGAACAAACTACTTTAAAATGAAGTGGCTTAAAACAACTTCTCTCTCACCGTTCTTTGGGGCTCAACTGGGCAGCTCCTGCCTGGGGTCTCCCGTGCCTTTGCAGTCAGGTGGTGGGCAGGGTTTATGTCATTAATGGCTCCACTAGTTGGATGCTCAAGATGGTTGGATTTCAGATGGCTAGCAATTGATACAGGTGTCATTTCGGGACCACGCAGGGCTCAGCTGGGGCTATTAACTAGAGTGTCTCCTTACACAAGGCTTCTTCGTGTGGTTTGGGCTTCTTGTAGTATGGTGACAGGGATCCGAGAGCAAGTGTTCCAAGAGACAGGGTGTGCTAAAAGGCTCAACGGCTGTTTCACTGTATTCTGTTGATCAAAATTGTCAACGGACCCACCCAGAATAAAGGGATAGGGACATAGACGGCACCTCTCGAAATTGTGGCCATTTTTGATCTGCTGTGCACACATTACCGTGGTCTCTGCACATTTCTCTTTAGGCATATCAGGGAACTTATATCTACTGTTAGTTTTCACATAAGAAAAATATTTGCCCTTTCAAGTTCATGAAATATATAGGAAAGTCTCTCATTTTGAAAATGTCTCTGTTGTCACCATTTTTTAATTTTTGGATAATGTATTCTACTTAAATAATCAACATACAGTAACACATAGTAACTGATGTGATTTAATGCTAGGCAAAGACAAATAGATGTTACATATCTTTATTTTGATTACTTCAAATATATAGAAATGTAATAAAGAAGAAAAATAATTCCTCATAATCCCTCTATACTGAGAAACCTGTGAATCGGTTGGTGTTGTTTCTGTTTTCTGTGCACATGTGGTTTATTTTCATAAAGTTCATATCAAATTGTATAGATATCTGTGTGCCTTAATGTTATGTCATGAGCCTGTCCTCCAGTCGTTAAATATTCTAAAATGGAATGATTTGTAGTATCTGCACAATATTCCAGCCTGTAGGTGTATGTGTTTTTGCTGTTTTCCCACGTATTCTGCTGTGTCGCTAATATTTTTCTTTCTTTAGTGATTTGAAATGTACTTATTCTATTTTATTCTGATGGTGGTTAAAAGCAAAAGAATCCCTCATGTCTGAACTTTGTTTTTTAATTAATGGGGTTAGGAAGAAAATTGGGTCATTTAATCTCTACTCACCCCAATTCCATCTGTGCAAGATGACGATGTGGCATGCTTTTATGTAATCTTACCACTGTTACTCATGTGTTTATGTAATCTTGAATTTTAGGCAGAGATTTTCCATTCACAGTATCTCTTTAAAGATTTGTCACATTTGCATGGTTTTATATTTCAACAATTATATTTTAATTCACGTTTAGATCATTTTATTGCTCAATACTATTTATTTAGTATCACAATTCATCTGTAATTTCTTATTTTTTCATCTTTGTTAGTTGATTTACATGTTTACTAGTTTGTAAACCAAAGAAACGTGAGGGTTATGCTTCATTTTTCATACCTAAGAATGACTCTTTGTTTTGTGAATGAGACAAACTTGACCAACTAAATTTATGGACTCATAACAGTTCCCCCCAAAAAGGCAAAAGTGCTTTAAAAACTTCTGCTAGTCTGTGTCTGAAGTGTTTAACTTTGTTCATTTGTAAGAAATCTATCTTGGTTTTGTTTATGTTTTGTTATGTGTACTTATCGAGGTATTTTTTTCTCTTTCTCCTTGATACTACTCTTTATATATTTATTTTTGATTGGTATGCTTACCTTCTTTATCTGCTCGGCCCAATATATGTAGATTGGATCTAATTCCTGTATCCTCCATGCTGTTTATCATTTCTCTTAGTCTTTCATCCGTCACCTCTGATTTTCTAAGTTTTTTCATTTGTCTTCTACTCCATTGAGTGATTTTTTTTCATAATTTAGTCTTTGATATGTTCCCCTTCTATTTTTAATTTTACTACAATCTCTGCTGATACCATATTTTCCCCCTCTTTATTATCAATTGCTTTCATTTTATTTATGCATCATTTTGAATTTTGTTCACAAAATCAATAATCGTCCAAGAATTATAATTTTGTTCCTATAGATGTGAGTTTTGTTTTCCTCAGAATTCAAGCAGTGTCGAAATGCACTTCTTTCAGAAATTAGTGTGATTTGTGTATAATTTCTTCCGATAAGAAGAGTAAAGACTCTTTATAATGAAAACAGGAAATACAGAGACAGTGTGGGGAAAAAAAGGGGATAGTAAAGAAAGAGAATTCCAGGGACTTCCCTGGCGGTCCAGTGGTTAAGACTCCACGCTTCCAATGCAGGGAGTGCGGGTTCGATCCCTGGTCGGGGAACTAAAAGATCCCACATGGTACGCGGCCAAAAAATAAAAATAAATAAAATATTAAAACTTCTTTAAAACAAAAAGAGAATTCCACATTTACTCATTTACTGTACTCTAGAGTTAGTTCTGATAAAAATTGAAGAAATACACCTCCTTATCCAATTTGAAGTTAAAAATAAAGATTATTTTTATTGTACATGGGGAAATATACTTTAAAAAGACAAGGTTGTTATGATTCTTATGGTACTATATATTTTTTCCAGAATTGCTGGTATATAAGTCTAGTTTATGATCTCAAGGACAGGGCTGCTTTTAGTTTAAAGTGATAAATAGCTGATGTTATTAAAAATGTTTGCCTGTGCAGATCCTCTCATTATTGATACCTGTTCATTTACACGATCACAGTGTGGGACTAATTTCCACATATCTTGAGCGACCCTCACTTATTGCCTTCCCAACCTAAATTATGAGACAAGGAAAAATTGAACACCTTCTACCTTTTGTAAAACAGAAAATATTTTACTAGTATATCTTTCTCATTCTATTGCCCCCAAAACTGCTGTGGGGAGTTTGGTTGAGGTAAACTTTTAATTTTGGAAGAATAGACATTTCTATAATCTTTATTACTTTTCCTATAAAGAAGCATTTATTTGTAGATTCTACTTTTAAATGTTGTACAGTTCTGTGTTTTTTGGTTTTGGTTTTGCCTTAAATGACTGATTTTAGCTAAATTTATTCCTGAATATTTGTGTACTACTTGTTTGCTTAATGGCACTTTTATATCCCAGTTTATTTTCTAACTGATTGTTTTGGCTATCAAAAATCTATTACCTTCCTTTTTTAAATTGTGGTAAACATAATATAAAATGTACCGTTTTTAAGTGCACAGTTCAGTGGTATTAAATACTTCCACATTGTTGTGCTGCCATCACCACCATCCATCCCCATAACACCATGTGTTCTTTTTTTTTTTAACATCTTTATTGGAGTATAATTGCTTTACAGTGTTGTGTTAGTTTCTGCTGTATAACAAAGTGCATCAGCTATACATATACATATATCCCCATATCCCCTCCCTCTTGTGTCTCCCTCCCACCCTCCCTATCCCACCCCTCTAGGTGGTCCCTAAGCACTGAGCTGATCTCCCTATGCTATGCGGTTGCTTCCCACTAGCTCTCTATTTTGCATTTGGTAGTGTATATATATATATGTCCATGCCACTCTCTCACTTAGAAGGAAGAAAAGAATATATAGTAGACCTAGGTTTTATATTTCTTGTGAACCCAGTCAGGAACTAGAATATACTCCTATACATATAATATATTCTAAGAAAATACTTAGTAGTAATTTGATAATTAGTAGCATCATGATTTAACTTAGTAGATATAGTACAGGAACAGATTTTATTCTGTATGTGACTTGCTTTTCGTATGATGGCATACAATTACTTTTGTTTACTTCTCACCAACCATCTTGTACATTGCAATTTGGAGTTTTAGTCCTCAGCATTGAAACGTTTTTGGTATTTCTTCCTGTTCCAGGACAAAAATCAGAAAAATAAAAGGTATTTGTTTAATAAATTGCTGTACTTTAAAAAAAAATCTATTACCTTTACAAACATTAAAAAAAATTAATCTAAAACATTTTTAGGTTTACAGAAAAACTGCAGAGGTAGTACAGGGTCCTCATACACTCTACATCCAATTTCACTGATTACTAACATCTTATATGAATACATTAAATACAATAAATTACAATAATTAATTGCATTAATTTTAATAGTAATAAGAATTTTGTCACTTGAATTTTGGAATATTTTTAGAAGTAACATCTTGTTAGCTCTTTCAGTGTATTCCAAAATTTGGGGTCATTCAGATTTTATACTACTAATTGAGTCAATGTTGGTGACATTTATTTTCTAGTCATTCATAGTATGAATAAGTTTTGGCCTTTGTATTATTAATTTATAGGATAATTAGTATATTCTGGATAAACAGTTGTGTCTATTATATCT